CTGGATCATCTCTCCTGGGCTTACTATACAGTATATACAACAGAGCCGAAAAGAAAAAACAAAGCAAAAAATTTAGAAAATTAATTTCAGCTCAATTAATATTAAAAATTAAATTATATTATTTCAATCCTATTAATTTATTCATTTATTTAATAGTAACGGGGAATGTTTTAAAACACAGACAAACGAGCAATTATTTATTGTGACATGGTCAAAATGCCGGTCTGCTATTTTGAATCAAATTAATTTAAAATATATGCTCTCCACTTTAAATTAGTATATAGTGTCTTTCTTCTCTGCAGTTGATACTTTTCCTGATAGCAACAGAGTCATGTATGTTGCTCTGTTTCAAGGAAAACTTTTGAATTGAAATCACGTTACTTCCTTTCTAGACCGGGAGATTGTAATACTTAATCAGGGCCTTATGTCCCTTATGTCCCAATTCTTTTTATACCTTGTCTCGAATTGCATTATCTAAAACAGTTCTCGACATTACGAACAGACAGACAGCAGAACAGATGACAATGGGAATTTATAGCTCTACAATTTTTTTCTTTCAAATTGTAGACAAATAACATTCCCTTACGTTTTACCTTATGTAGTTTTGCACTACTGCATTGTTAAATTTGGTTTCTCCTCAGCAATAATTCAATTTAAAATTTGAGAATTTAAAATAATTCCTTGTCAGATAGTGGGTAAGTGTGTGTCTAATATAGTATAGGAATTTAACATTTGCAAAGAGAAGCTTTTAAGTTTTAGAGTAGAATTATTTTTTATTTATGTATAAGATATTATCTAATAATCAAAATTTTAAAAAATGGCAGAAGTAATTTACAAAAAGAACAGTAAATTGTTAAGCATTTTAAACCGAAATAAAAGTGCTCTATTCTTTCACGAGGCCAAATAAGATCAAAATAAAAGTTTAAAACCATTTATATTCAAATTTTATTAACAAGACAAAATCTGGAATTAATTTTGTTTATTATGACCTCATTTAGGAGCCTATTCTTTACAAATATCACATACTTTTATTTTCTAGTTGTCACTATCAATACTAACTCATTTTCAGGTCTGTGTCAAGTCTTAATTTTCTTCTAAGGAAGTCCGGAGTTGATTTTATAATATAATTTTGTAGATAATGATAATGATAACATAATTTTTCAGAGTGGAACGTAGTACATTAAAAATTATTTTGCCTTGAGGTAACCTATTGCTTATTTGTAAGAAACCGTTGCAATATTTGGCAAGTGTCCCTATCTGTTATCAGGACGGGCCACGTGGAAAACTTCACCTTGACCTAAAAGAAAGATATTTAGCTATTACTTTTTTTAAGCCATTTATTGATAAATATAAAATATATACAATTGGAATATGTATAAGTAAATGAGTTATCATGGGCACATAGCCAGCCAGAAAGATGCATATCAGTTGGTAAAGGTATATACAAAAAAGTTGGGGTATGTACCCCTAGACGCGTTCCATGGGCACTAGCCAGCCGATATAGACGCGGTTACATGGGCTCGAGCTTGACAAAGTGTGGTACATAACATGGGTGGAATAGAGTCCAATTAGTTGTGGGGGCGATTGCCAAGGTGTCGCATGTAGATTTCTCTACTGTGGCTGATGCAATCGCTTACCATTAGGTGTCGCATCATCTTGGCGTACTTCCTGGATATCCCAAGACGTTGTATGACGCATTCGTTTGCAGCGTCGTAGCCGCCAAGGGCTCCTACAACGAAAGCGTCGATGAAGGTCTCGTAGCCTAAGTTTCGGTAGTGGGTGGCGAGGGCTTCGTACTTTCGGACTTTTTCTTCTCGGGCTTGGGTGAAGGCATTTTCGCCGTTTTCGAAAGGCGTGGCGACGTCGATTATGGTTGCAGTTTTCGGGCTATTGTTGATTACGACCAGATCAGGTCGGCAGTTGCTGGTGAAGTCTGGGATCTGTTGGTTGCTGAAAATTTGAAGGTTTTTATGATCAAAAGCGTTGATTAGGCGGTTGAGGATGGCATTATGACGTTTAGTAATCTGGGCGAGGTTGGGGGGGCAGTGATTAATGACGTGCGCCAGCGTTTCACGGTGTCGTTGGCAGCGGCGACAGTTCTGGCTGGCGTTGCCGAAGCGGCGAAGGCCGCGAAGAGGGACAACGGTGAGCCTGGCCCGATGTATAAATCGCCAGTCGGCGAATTACAAATACAGTACAGTAGAACCTCGAAAACTCGGCCTAATGTGGACCGAAGGGTGGCCGAGTTTGTGAAAATGCCGGGTTATCGGGAATGGGGTTAAAAAAAATAAGTACGAGTGTTTCCTCAGAAAATACTGTACTGTACTTGTATGTATCGTTTACTTGAGAATATAACAGAGAATAAACTGCCCAAATACCCTTAAACAAAGGAAAAGTACGTCCTTTATGAAGGCATATAGCCTTTACTACATGAAAATGAAAATTAATGAATACACTGTGTACAGTAATTTACCTGATAAGACAGACCTCAGAGAAATATTTTATGAGAGCTTTTATACTTTTATAAAGCTGTCTATAATGAAAATTAATTAACTAAGGATTTTTTTGCCCTGCCAGGCCGGGTTATCGAGAGCCGAGTTTTCGAGGTTCTACTGTACTAGTATATTACTGCCCTTATTCTATCTTTATGTAAACTATAAGTAAGCTGTAATTTCTCCTTACCTTTGTTGTACGCAAACTTGACGAGTAAAATGCTTGCAAAAACTCGAAAACTTGAAAATGTTGTAAGTTATTACTTTACGCACAGAATTTAAACATACAATGAGACTACTGTAGAGACAGTTTCGTGGCGAGTTACAGATCGTAGCTCTTACGAAAATAGAGGATATCAGATTATTCGATTGGTTTACCTTAGGTAAATGAGTAGAAAGATTACTTCTTAAAGACTGAAATGCTGATAATGACGATAATATATTGTTGTATAACAATAAATTTTAACGTTTAATGAACGAGGAAATACTTTCAAAATAAAACCATTGCAACTTAAACGTTAAAACTTAAATTTATGACTACTACCTACGTCGTAGCCATAAATTTAAGTCATAATACTTACGTCTATTTTGATGTTATTCAAAATAGAAAAGAGAAATTAATTTCATATACACACATTCTATAATCTTAACTTTATTACTAAATAACAATAATAATTATAAGGAAAAAAAAGTTGTTAAAAGTCTTCGGTATTTAATAGATTCGTCCATTGTTCCTAGTTATTCGAAATATTCTTAAAATTTGATCCTATTTTCTAGTATGTTACAACAAAACAAGAATACAGTTAAAATATGTGAAAATCTCAACCAATATTTTTAACGACTTTAGTAAATTATAAAGGTATATAACGCAATAATACACTTATATACCGTATAAATAGAAACATTAGAGTTTAGGATAGGATACAAAATTCTGAACACGTCGCTATCTGAAACAACAATTAAAGTGGTTAATTATCAAAGAATTGTTTTATGTACAGTCCGTAAACATTATAGTAGATCCCCCATAACACTGTAGATCAGTGGTTCTCAACCTTTTTTGTTGATGTACCCTATTAGCCCATTAGTTGTTTTTCAAGTACCCCTTATATTTTTGTATGTAAATTTTATAATTACTGTGTTAGATGTATAAAGCCCTTATAACTGAGCGCCATAAAAAACCTAACTAACTATAACTAAAAGTAAATTACTTATTTTACATAAATAATAATAAATTTAATCAGGTACATACATTTATTTATTATTATTTGATAAGTATATTATATAAAATTATATAAAATCACAGACGTCATTTTAATACATGCATAAATTACATTTCCTAAAAATAAATAATTATAATTAACAATAAAGAAAATTTAAATTATTCTATAATAATTTCTAACAAAATTTAATGGGATATTTGTTGCGATAAATCTTCAGCAATTTTTTCAAAATTTGGTTCCCACGTT